AAAACAACAAAATAAATCACTTAAACGGCATTTTGACATCAACTTTTTAACCTAAATTCTATAATGGATGTCGTCCAATACAATTTAAGAATGCTTTAGTGAAAATACCTGGTCGCTCGACGTGGAACAATAAGAGCAAGTCATCTCTCGGCCTAATATAAATAGCGAACATTAGATGAACGGGCCTACATCTGTGTATACAGTGGCTGCCCTGAAATGAGTGCTGCATTTGAGTATTAGTAATTTTAAGGTAAAATTATACCACCACAACATATTTCTTAAATAAATAGGATTTAGTTCATATTGTTAAATAACTGATTACCTCGTTGACCTAGTGGTCGCCAGTGCGACTGCCAGGCGAGGGGTCTCGGGTTCGATTCCCGGGTCGGACAAAGTAGTACGGAGTCTGGAATTGTGCTTGATATATGGCAATAGGCTCACCCCCTATTACATGGGATTCATAACATAAATAGTGAAAAGTGGGTTTTACATTGTACTTACAGTGGCATAATGTACATTCTGCCTAACCCTTCGGGGATAAGAAGCATCATGTTATGTTATGTTTAATACTATTTATTCAAAAAATATAAGATTTAGTTCATATTGTTAACTAAGAGATGTAAACTGGGCTTTGATTGGGAAAAAATACGATAAAGACGATAAAACACATTACATATCAGGCAACACGGTTTTAAAAATACCTGTTGTACGATTAAACAAAATTAAACAAAAAGTGATGCAAATATTTCAATAAATCTAAAATCATCTCGTTGCTAGACTTAATATTTTTTATCTAATCTACTTAAAAAAAAATAATGACCAAAATTCATTGGCCAGCGGTGTACAATGTGCTGTCCAATGATTCCGTAATGGCCTTACGCGCATTACGTTATTTTGAGTGGTTTGTACTGGACAAAAAACGTACCGAGACAATCCGAGGTATGTGCGGAACGCCAAGAAACCGATTTAGCTCTTTGAAGGTTAAGTATATTTCATTAGATGACCATTTCATGTTACGTAAAGGTTAAGTAGAATGGTAGTTATAAACTAGATCAAACTGTTTAAATATTTTTGCTTGGAGAAGTTTGCAGTTGAATATTTTTCTTACGTAAAGGCATCAAGTAGTCAGATGCTGTATAGGTAACCTTTTTACCTGACTACCTTAAACAGGTCATTATTATCATTTGATTAGGGTCAAACTAAACTTACTGGGTTCACTTTAAAAACGTTGCCCCACAATAGGATTTCCTTCTGTGTCGTGAGTGCGTTTACATACATACAAGTTCACATAGCGTAAAACGGGGTGAATAGAATTCGAGAGGTGAATAAATATTAAAATATTATCTCAATATTTATTTACCTCTCTTCTGTATCTATTCACCCCCCGAATTCTATTCACCTGGTTTTACCGTTACAGATGACATCCAGGCCCGAAACAATAATTTGTGGATCACACCCAGTTGCTCCGTGCGGGAATCGAACCCGCTGCACGTTCGCGGCAGTCGGTTGCCCAGGCACCGTGCCAACCGTGCTGTCAAACTGTTGTTATCACACTGACTAGACAATTCTTTGGAGCAAAACATTTCTGTAACCTACAAATTTCCATATCCCGGCTTAAAATTCACCAAATAGTCTCGTATAAAAAGGCCACAAATAATCAAAAGTGAATCTAGTTCCCTTAATAATCCGTCAAAATGATTTTATTTAAGCAATCGCAATGAAACTGAATCTAATGAATAAATAATATTTATCAATAAAATACATGCAAGTAATTAACTACAGAGTACGAATATCGTTTGGAAATTATTATTCCTTTGCATTAGCTAATGGTAAGCTGCGGGAATAGTGACAGGTTGTTAGCTTGCGCCTACGCACGCTGTAACCCATTGCCCTCGGTTGACTCTTGTAACTTAAGCCAGATTATTATATTAAGCCAATGTCCTTACGTATTTTTGTAGTAGGTTTATTGATTTCTAGGCATTTGTAGGTCTTATTAGATAAGTTTTTTTTAAAGTTAAACTCGTTTTTAGTGTTTTCAAAAATAATAGTTTTCTGGAAGTATATTCTAGAGGTTTGGTTATCAATATTAACACCGGGTCTGTTATAGTCTGCACTCTTGGCAGGTGGAGTGAAAAACGCAGTTTAAAGATTCAGATTTATCGACCGGAGTGATACTATGGCCTCACATAAAACTGACGTGAAACAACAACAACGTGGGATTCCTTATGTGGGTGAAGTTAGCGGAGGCCCAATAACACCCTCCCTTCCCCTATCTCTCCAATCCCTGAATCACCAAATTCCTAATCCCTATATGCCCGTAACGCACTTGTAACGTCTCTGGTGTTCTAGGCTTCCATGGGCAACGTCAATTGCTTACCATCAGGTGATCCGTCTGCTCGTATACCGGCTTATCCCATAAAAAAAACAAACTATCAGAATAAGTGCGATAATGTTATCATGTTTCAGCTGAAATTACAATTCAAACTAGTATAATAATATACTAAATACACTTTACAAAGTTCCAATATATACAAAAGTCGATTCCAGAACGAATATATTAACAGTAAATAATTATCACATACGTCAAAAGGAGTGGTCCCATGATAATTCACGCTAATGCATCGCTCAAATATATTATGGCGACCAAAATTTTTAAAATGTATTGTGAAACTACCCGATGACGTCGTCAAAGTAAAATATTTTGAACACCCGTCATCGTATTGGTATTCTGTCAAAAAAAGATAAAAACTAAATTGTGATCATAAAATTAATAAAAATGTGTTTTAAATAGTTTTTATGGTTTTTTTTTATTTATGACTTGTTTTAATGCAAATTTTGTGGTTGCATTTCGATATTTTGATATATAGAAGTAGATATTTTAAATGCATTTAAAATATATGTATATGTTGCCAATAAAGACATGTCTGATAAAGTTTTGATATATAGGTATGTAAGTGTTGTTCTCAAATAATAAATGAATAGATGTCGACCTCGTTTACATAAAATAATGCTGGTCTAATAATAATTATGTATTCGACCTTATTTAATGATATTTATACTATATATAACTGAAGAAAAGTAGAAGGTTTTATTTCACATGTAAGTTTTAAAATTTCCAATGATTCAGAAATACTGACAAGGTAAACCATTGGACACGTGTTTTCATGGTTGAATTTACTGTAGATCCTAGCTTACAGGAGTTGGAAGGTATTGGAAGGTTGTGGCGGACTTGTACCAAAAAATAAAACCGTTTGACTGGTAATTTGGTCATAGAACTTGTACATTTTATTTAAAGACTGACTAATTTAATTAAAATCCAGCTACGTATATCATTAGTAGCTAGTTTTCCTCGAATATGACGTTGCACTATAAAAACACGACGTCGACAAAATGACAATAATAGTAGCTCTAACTGGGTGTTAATAATGCCAACGGCTTAGTACATAAAGAAATTAATTCACTTAACATACTACGTCACTTCGTTAAAATCAAAATTTATAGTAAAAATGTGTCATTTTAACTCATTAACAGAATTGACGTATCTATTGCTATTGACATAGAGCTGAAAATAATATGAAATATAAACATTAAGTACGTCAGTATATTATGAAATCTTTTCAGGTTTCCAGACGCCATTTTTGTAATGATAAATGTGGTGACGGTGGTGTTAATTGTGTGATTATTTATTTAAGTAAATAATATACTAGATGTTCAAAGAACTAACAAAATGTATAAGTGGCTTTTAGATCTTGCCTTGAGACTAAATAGCTAAAGCAAAGTTCGTATCTGTGAATTCACTTAAGTTGCTGAAGAAATTGCTGCGAGCTCAAGAAAAATTTAAAATCCAGGAATTGAACATTATGATTATAATGATCTGAATTTACTTTGGTTACTTTTTACCTATTTGTAGTGTAAGTAACACGAACTTAGTAAACTTAGAACTTAAGTAGACAAAAGGAAAAAATGTGTTTGTTTTAGGTTTTATATTTTGACTCAACCGACGAATGAGTCCATAAACTTTGCGTAAATAATAATTTAACTAAATATAAATATTATAATAAAAAGAAATAAACACATTTTTCTTCCTCATTATTGCAACTACATCACACAATCCTTGATTATCCAAAAATTGTTGGTTTGGGTCTGAGTGTACCTAATGAGTATGTGGAACTAACGAGACTAGTACAGAAGAATATAAAAAGAAATATTTTCCTCACAAAACACGTGGATGAATTTCGCAATAATAATTTCACGTCACCAATCAATGTAAATTAAATTATTCTCCCCTAACTGTCTTAGTAGTCATCACCTGCGTGATCATCACGATTTGGGTCACACATGAATGCATGATGTCCATCAACCAATCACAGTATCACGATTTACAACCGTTTACAAGTACATTCGGTGCGTACTACACGTGGCTCTAATTGGTCGTAAGGACATTGTCTTTACGCAGAAATTTGTACTCAAAGTCACGTTTTTGAAGGTCTATTTTTACTTAACGGTATTTTTTGTTCGGAGGTTTTTGTGGTGTCCTTGATATCTTCAGGATTAACTCGTCAAATACCGTCATTATAGACACAATTATAGAACAATAGGTTGCGGTCACCGGTGTCCTCGCGGTGTTTGACAGTTTAATGTGTTTCTGTGAATATATGTATTCAAAGGTCAATTGCTAAAATACTTTTGTTTATCCATCTTATCCCATCTTAATCATGTAGGTATGTTAGTGGGTAGGTATCTTTGTATTGTATTTAGTTCTTGACAGAAACTCAATGTAACTAATGTCAAAAATCCATCATAATCCAAAGGTTTTAAACTGAAACCGGTTACTAATTTTGACTGTATACTTCTCGAACAGTGTTTTTTTATAGGGATAAATTATCCAATGATTTCTCCCGCCTTGGAGAAGGCGACTAAAAACCACCCCTTTACTACTCGTGTTACAAAAGGGCATGATTCTTCGCTATACCTACTAATATTATGAGAGTAAATCTTACCTTGTGAACATGTTGGCTTGTGGAGTGTGTTATATAAATCGGCACGCTCTGGTTGGCGTCCCTGGGCGCCGTCACCGTTGTCATCATTGGCGACACGAGGACCGCGCCACTGCTCACCGGTATCCCACACCTGGAGGAAAGAAACAACGTGAGAGAGAAACTAAAAAGAAAAGCTGTTTACTTACGCGTAAAAAAACTCCTATAGTAGTAAACGGCTGAAATATATAATACTGCAGGTTTCATCTCGATTATAGACAGAAACTCGATAGAATTAAAGTTTAAAATTAACCTGATTCCATGCATTTTGTGATGAAATCCGTTGTTAATTACGGCCTTACGAGATGAAGGGGAAAAAACTTAGATGAATCAGAATGTATGTACAAGGATCGTATTTTATATTTTATTACATGGGACTTATAACATAAATAGTGAAAAGTGGGTGTTACATTGTACAGTGGTATAATGTGCATCTCTGCCTACCCCTTCGGGGGTAAAAGGTGTGATGTTATATTACGTATTTTATGTAGTGTTAAGTGCGTTCTATTGTTTTCACCTATCTCCATGAGACAAAGACTCGTATTCTATGTATGAGTATATATTAGGTATAAAAAATAGAAAGCCCTTATTGTTATTCGTGAAAAAGTTTTGGACGTCATGGTATCGTCATATGGAGAACATGAAAATATACTATTATACTAGGTATTGGTAGTTGGACTTATTTAACTTCAATTGAAAACCTTACTCCCGATATAGCTTTAGTCTAAAGAAAGTTTTCGAAAATTTTTACACCGTGTTGTGGAGACATAAATCAAATTTAAGTACGTTTCGACTGTTGCCACCAGGTAAAGAGTACTATAGTGTCTAATATAAAAGTAAATATTACACAAGTTTTGTACTGAAAGTAAATACACATACGTAACAGACGTACATATAGTCGACGCGCCGAGTCGGGATCGGGAAATTAGAGTAGTATTAAAATTGGAACTGTACTTTGAATTGTTCACTGTGACGTCGGTTTTACGTAATCAATGTTGACACACGTGAAATATGACATTTATTTTTAAAAATAAACTGTTTCTGGGGTAAACTTCTTGGAGTTGTGACTTAGTTATCGACATTGTAAGACTCATAAATGAGCAAATTAGAGATTGGAGATGGTCCTGCTAAATATGTTGCAACATCTCCAGGAGTTAATGTAGGATTAATCAGCAGAACTTTTTGAGAAACTCTCCTGAAACTAGATTCAATAGTAAAAACTGAATACAACTACTACACTTAGTTAAGGAATATCAGAAATATCATAACACGTTCTACACTTAAAAATGCGTCTTTTTTATCTTAAGCACTCATAAGGAGATTAAAGTATCTACATAACAACAACCAAAAAAGGTTAAACGCCTTACTTCTAAATAAGTACAAACAGCATCACAAACACACCTGCTCACCAAAACTAGCTCCCATTCGAGAGATAACCAACAAAGTTGACGACTCCTAATAAGGAAACGCGGTAGGCCACAATAAAACAAAAAAGGCGCGCTAAACATTTCTCATTAGCGTCCCAACTCTGACTTACGCCAATCATTGGCAGGCGCCAGAAAACCGACAAGAATGGGCATGGGAGGAGCGCTAATTATTGACAAAGCCAACGTATATGGCATGCCAAACCGATCATAAAACACTAAGGACTTATTACCAATTTCGTTTCAACGAATCGGTGTGAAGTAGATATTGACTATTATTTACTTATTGACATTATTATATAGTTTTTTTGGTTCTTTTTTGTCTGTGCATGATTGATTATGTTTTAAATGTCATGTCGTTTTGCGTAAGCTGTGGTTCTGTTGTCTGCACTGAGGGTTAGGTTCATAAAGAGCAGAGGTTAACCCCACATAGCTCGTGTCGATGCATGATTGATTTATTAATGTTGCCAAGGTATGACATTTTGAAATCGATACTTTGGTGGAATTGTTAACAGGTGTTTTTGGTTGGCATATAATCAAATCTTAGCCAGTGAAGTTGTTCATCAATGTGTTTTAAAGTTTTACGACAATAGCCACTATATCAAAGTTGCACTGAGAAGGGAACAAAAAATATGTCGACTTCAAACGCCATGACAAGTTATACAACAAATAATTATAATGTGACAAATTCTCATACACACACAATTTCTAAATTCTTTTTTGTTCATGCTCCCTTGAAAATATTGTCGAGTATACTTTAAACGGAAATCTGACGAAATATCCCATAAGTTTTTTATAGAGCATAAATCACACAACGGAAGCAATTCTTGACCCTTTCGTCTAATAACAGCACTCGTAATTGTAACAATAGCTACGTTTCCAATTCGCTCTTGGCATTCCATAGTTCATTAGTGACGCAACCTAAGTTACCAAGATCATATCGAACTGCCCATAAAATACCATACTTGTCATAATCCGCAATTATAGGTACGTTATCTTTATAATGCATACCTTTTACGCACATTTTTTCATCGTAAACAAATTACAGTTTTCAAAGGCCCCAATAATTTTGGTCCGATGTGTACTAAGGACGTTCATTAAAGTGATTACATCCACTCTCGGCGAGTGATTGGACATATTTTAGTGTGTAATTTTTCGTGTTATTATTTGATAAAAGCAATGTAATTGGTGCCAGTTAAATGGCTCGTTATGTAGATTTTGATAAACGACCCTTTAAGACGTTTTGGAGATGTTAATTTTTGTTTTTGTTGCGTTGTGAATTAGGTGCGTTTATAAATCAAATTCAGGGTTATTATTGATTTCTTTCGTAAGTACTTTGGAAAGGTCGTAAATCTGGTTATTTTCATTCGTATAGCAAGAGCATATTATCCATTTTTTATGAAATAGGAGGCACAGGAGCAGACGGAATGTTATATACTTTATTTTGATAACGATAAAGTACATACATTACACCCCCGTACAAATCCCATGGGAAAGTTTATCATTCACAGTAAAGAACAGAAAAAGAACGCCCATACTACCTACTAAAGAAACAATATGAGAAACTGCAGATTCTGTATCCTAGCCACTTACAAATCGAATAAAACAAATACTGATATTCTATTATGGTGATCGCCTGTCCTCTTCTCGCGCGTAAAGACGAAAAGAGAGGGCGTTACTGGTTGAAATGTCGTAGGTCATTAGGTCCTTACCATGTAGGGCTTGCAATATGCCAATATGGAAGGCAGCCGTGACTTTTGTATGTGGTTATATTGGGCCTAACAATAGGTTATTGGGCATAAGATTTAAACTAAATGCGTAGATGACCCGAGCGGTTCCAGATGACTTTGATAGTGCAAGACATTGTCGGAAATTAATTGTTCTGGAGAAAGTTATTAGGCTACTTGTTCGTTGAAATGGGATTCTTGTATTGGAATGTTATTGGTAGCATATGTCCTTTGGTTAGCAATTCGTAATTTGGTAGATTTATTGGCACTATTACACATGTTTAAACTAATATTAATGAGTTTAACTCGAGTTGGTATCTAGAGTTATTGAATATTACGTTTATTTGTGATCAGGCAAGCACTGACAGGATCTTATTCATAGGTTTAAAACCTCGGATACTAAATAGTATTTACAAAACATGACAGGCCCTTCCAAAAATTAGATTCCTTTTCTAAGTTTTCTTTATAAAAAATTAACTATTTTCTCATTCTTCTAAAACTATCATGTTCCAAGTTCAGAAACTTTCATCCAGAATGTCTGAGTGTGACCTCAGCTATTGTATCCAACCCTTTGTTTGAAATTGTAGTTTTAAATGTACGTTGTCTCACTAATTTTATTGTATCCTTGCCACGGGTAAACCACCTTTAGCATATTTCAATCCATGCTTTTAGATATTTAACTTTAGGTGAATTCTCTTTCTTGGCGACTTTTATTGTGTTACTAGCTTTTACCCGCGGCTTCACTCGCGTCACAAAAGGATAAAAAGGCCTATGTGACATATACCAATACGCACAGCGCCATCTATACCAATACTTTTGTTTTCCCTCGGGAATATCACATTTTTCCGGGATAAAAAGGACCCTATTATTTAATTCAAAGCAATCGGTTTAGTAGTTACGGCGTGAAAGCGGAACAAACAAACAAACTTACTTTCCGATTTATAACACAACATAACATCACGCCTTTTATACCCGAAAGGGTAGGCAGAGGTGCACATTACGGCACTTAATGCTACTGTAATGTAACACCCACTTTTCACGATTTATGTTATGAGTCCCATGTAATAGGGGGTGAGCCTATTGCCATATACCGGGCACAGTTCCAGACTCCGTGCTACCACTGAGAAAAACCCAGTAATACTCTGCCCGACCCGGGAATCGAACCCGAGACCCCTTGCCCGGCAGTCGCACTTGCGACCACTCGGCCAATGAGGCAGTCCGATTTATAATATTATATATAGTAAGGATAAGGATATTTTGCTTTAGAAGTGATATCGTAAGGATAACAAGACAGACTTCTTACTTATGTAAAATGCGGTGTTGTAGGTAAACATTTAATATTATTTTAGTTTGAGCTTATAACTAGGAATGATATAAAGTAAACAAATACTTATCTAACAACAATAGTTCAGTTTACTAAAATAAGCAGTCGAAGTTTGATAAATATAAATTCTCAGCATAGAGTACTCGTAACTCGGTTATAAAACACAATTAAACTGTCAAACACCAAGCGGTCACCGGTGACCGCAACCTATTGTTCTATAATTGTGTCTATAATGACGGTACTCGACGAGTTAAGTCATTGATATAATAGAAAAAATGGGGCTAACGTGATAAATACAGTAAATACAGTCCATCCCTAGAAGATGTCATGTTGTTCTAGAAATACATGTCACATTTGACCCAAAACTCAAGTTGAGTGAACTGTCCCTAACCTTACCGCTTAATGAGCACACCGAAATTCATAGTACTGCTACCAACGTTAGAAAAATTAATAACCGTATAAGAAAATAGAGGTTTGTCATACTAGAGTCGTCCAGAATGTCGATTCAAATTATGATAAGGCAGAGTGAATTAGTTCTGGTAGAACATAATGGCCAGCGATTAGGTTATGTTGGCCATCGAGGTGTAAAGGTTTGGTGGTTGGATGAGATATTTTGTTT